GAAATATTCTCGTTGGGATCAGAGAAACTAAGAGATCGGAGAAAGAATGTGGCAGCAATGATCAGCTAATACGTCACCGTTCTATGCATGCAGTTTATAGTCATACAATATGAAGCAAAACGAGAAAGTAAAAGTACTTACTAACTTATTACAGACATATACATCATATGTATACGTCTATCTTTCTTTCTTTTTTCTATAAACTTTTCTTTTTGCTTTTTTTATTTTCTTGAGATGCAACTTTAATCACATTCTCTTAGATTTCAGTAGCAAAGGCTCTTCACATCCTTCTTTATTCACTTATTTGCTTTCGTTTTTTTTTCCTTTTGTCCTTTCTTTTGTCCCCGACTTGTCTCTCTACTATCATTTCTTGTAATAACTATATACAGAATATTTTTTTAACCAGTTATTACATATATATATATACATAATCAGAACAAGTTTAATAGTCTTTGAGAACATATTTTTATAACTTTATAGCCATTAGCCAAAGCAAAAATGTAACATACATTTTAAAAGAAAAACTTAACCACTTAATATTATATTTGAAAAATCGAATAATGGTCATATTTCTATTTCTTAAAATATAAATATTTGAAGACTTCATTTAATTCAACCGTCTATATGAACTATATTAATTGATTGGTCGATCAAACCTATGCGGCCGGTTTAAGTACGCATCGTGGTTTAAAGGGACCGATCTCCTATCAAATTTTACTACTCCGCTTCAATTAATTTCAAGGGCCTAAGCAAAGCCCACAGACAAACTAGCAAGTAAGCAAAGTTTAAATCAATGCCGTAATTAAATGATTCCTACACTTTAACTAGTACTATCCTAATAATAATGATCTGCTAAACTTTAGTAATTTTTGTAACTTGTAATTATAGGAGAGTCGGTTTTTCATGTTATTTAATAATCATTGTAAAAAAATTGAGAATAGGGGATTAAAGTGTGTATACGATATAGTAACATACCCTTTCTGAAAAAAGGGGGAATACGATATTACGATGTGTAGTACAATGTTCAACTGTTGCAGTCAAAAAGCATTATTTAACTTTTACATCTTTTATGGATAGTTTAACTACATTTATAACTTAAAAAGATAATATTTTGGTTTCATATAATTAAGTCTTTTGATCATATAGCGTCGTATCAAAAAAAAGCTCATATACGTATCTTTACTTTTGTTTTTTGTGGGAAACATTAGCTTTAATTCATATATGTACTAGCGTTCACCTTTGCGATTTATATATATATGTAATATGTGTGTGTCAAGTTTTTTAATTTTCAAACTTGAGATAAATGACTATTTCCGAATGAAGGATTTGCTGCAGTGAAAAAAATTAGTACAATTTTAAGATGTTAAGATTTTAAACGTAAATTTATTTTCTAGTCGAATTTATTTTCGGTGTCGAATGGTATAACAATGACCAGATTATTATTCATTTTATATGAAATAAAAAAAATCAATATTTGGTACCCAACCACTGCCTAATTTGATATCAAATTTAAAGGATAAATAAAGGGAAAAGAAAAACGGAACAAATCATTGGAGGATCGGTCAAAGAGGAATAATTAAGCTCTTTCTTTTTAACAAATTTTATTGTCATTCACTTTTGAATTTGTCTTTTGTTGGGTACAGTTGAACGAATGTTTCTTTACTTCCATCACAAGACAGATAAAGAATTCACAAAATAAGTTTTTTTAATGGTTATTTTTTCCATCAGAATATAAGTTAAGCTATAATATCAGTAAAATAAGATTCCAGTGAGAATATTCAGAAATAAAATATCATACTTAATTTACTCCAACATTTATAGGTATATGAATTATGAATAGAGTTGATTGGCCATAAAAGACACATGCTATTTTATTATGGTATTTCTTCAATTATTATTTCAGCCCAAATGAATATAACATAAGAACCTTGCTTTTCCTATATGCCTAAGCAAAGAAACTTGCTTTATGTGTAAAATAAAATTTTATCTCAATTATATTAGCTCTTATGTGAAAAAACTGAAAACTAATTGAGAGGCTATAAAACTATATTCCTCTAAACAAAGTTGCAATGACGCAATATAGAAGATTTTTAAATACGCATTTGATTCATCAATAAAGAAACTAAATATGAAGTAAAAAGTAAGAACATATACGAAGATCATGTGATACTTAACATGAATCGCGAAAATATGTAAAACCTGGAATATATATAGGTAGCTGGCAGCCATTAAATTCCTATGCAATTGCATTTTATCCATTTAGTTTTGAGTACTTTCCACACTTGAAAGCCTAACATAGACATATAGGGTTATGACTTATGAATATCCTCTACATGTCAATGGTCTTCTTCAACAAATCATCGTTTTGAAAACAGGTAATTCCATTATTTTCATTAACTTTGATCTATCTATCTATATCATATGTCATAAGAGTTTCAAGTGATTTAATATTTCATCTGCTGTGTGCACTTGAATAACGATTAACTTTGATGTTCTCTTTTAGGTTGAGAAAATGGAGTCGATTGTTTGTATTTTATGTTGCGTTTTTACACCCTCAGCATTACTGTGTTGGGATATTCAAACGGGCTAAACCCATAATTGCATATTTGTCTGGGCCGAACTCAAACTATATACATATCGCTGTTGTAACTACCAACACGTGCCTAGTTAACCCCCACTATTTTTCTTGCAAATCTTTTCGTCATATTTTTCATTTTAATGGCTGATTTTTTTTTTTAAATGGCTGAATTTAGGTTGTCAAAGTTGGTTAAACCGGAATATTTACAGAGTAGAAATCGTAGATTGAACAGAAAATAACTAAAAGTATTAGATTTCAAAATTTATTTGCAAGGGATGTTTTTTCTACTACATATATAAATTTCAAAATTTATTGCCAAAAATAATTAGATGCGAATTTTGTTTTAATTAGTAAATAAATGGCGCTAATCTTAGCTACACGTAGATGCGTTCTTCTATGAATCATATCCTCATTTTTAATAGAAACGAAATACAATAAGTTAGAAGTGGAATCTATGTTCAGTGTTCACTTTATATAAAACTAAGGGAATCCGACAATATAGGGAATGATTAGTTGTTATTTGCAAGGTGAGTCATCCAGATTTATGAATGTTCCACGTATAATAGCTATTAGCTAAAATAGTATTTAGCCTAATATTTTATGCAATCCAATATTTAACAAGAAACAAAAATTGAATACTAAGACGTTTGACTGATGAATGAAGGGAAAACCATATCAAGTTATGTGATATATAATCTGATCCGTACACGTTGTAACAACAGGCGTATGTATGTTAATTTTTTTTTTAACCAACGAAGTTTATTATAATTATCTTTGATCACCAAGATCATGTTGGGCCACCCAAGCCACGACTTAGGTGTAAAGACAATCGTAAGGAACCAAAACATTGTTCTGCTTCTTCTTTTCTTTTTTTTTTTTCTTTTAATATGCAAAATAATTCGGACCTTTGACACGTAATTTTCGAGGTCCCACAATCTCTTAATCACCATAACCAATCCTCGAAACTACTTATTTTGTGAAACGTAAGAACATCCAATTTCGATAAAATTCGAACATGAGACTGGGAGCATGGATTCAACATCCGTTCAAGAAAATCCCTTGTAACCACAAAAGCTACTTCAGTCACTGTTATGTTCCATACATATAAAACATAGCTATTTCCTCCATATTTTATCAAATTTCTACTTATAATTGAATCTGCCGAGTTTTTGTGTAACAAGATACGTAGTTAGAGTTATATTCACACTTTAATAACTTAAAATATACTCACATCAAATAAAAATAGAACATTGTTACAAAAAAACAAAACCAATATCATAAATAATAACTCACATCAAGGCCCCACTTAACCGACCGGTCAACTCAAATAATAGAAAACGTGTTAAACATTTCCCCCGTGGTCGTGGGGTTTCAGATAAATGGGTTGAATGTGGACATGTACGTGTTTTTGCTCGTTAGATTCAGATAAATATAATTCGTTCTCCAAAATAGGTCCTCCACCCAATTCACTTACAACATCATCAGTACAAGAAAATTGGATATGCAATTCGAAGAATTTGTTATCATCCTTCAGCATATGCTTTATATATATGATATTTGATTCTTCATTTTTCCCATATTATGTTGATTTTCCAGAGTCAAATTTTGCTTTTAGTGATAGCTATATACTTATGGAAGATGGAGTTTATACACACACACAAATCACAGAAATTAAAATCGTCAACACTAAACAGAATTAAAGATGAATTTGCTGCATTTAATTCAAGGGACATTAAAGAGTCTTCTGGGCCCAATTGGATTAGATATAGGAATATGTAGTAAAATTTAGAAAAAAAGTTGACAATCATCACAAAATTCACAATTATTGACCATGATCACTACGTACGTATACACATGACGAATTGACGATGATTATCTTCTTTCCTTGTATGTTGTTGAATTTTGACCTACTCGGACAAAAAACTTTAGAAATAATCTTAACGAAATCTAAAATTGATGTAAATCATATACAAAATTATGATATACTCCAACTTAGGATATAATTAAAAACATCCGAAAATTAAACCAAAATTTTCATTAAATTTATGCAAAACTAGCTAGAACGAAGTTGGTCTCGTTTGTCCCACAAAAAAAAAAAAAAACTAGACCGAAGTTGGAATTGTACTGGTACACCGTACACCCCCTAACTGTAGTACTATGTTGTAAAGAAACACAATATGCCTAAAAGCATATTGTGAGTGAAGAGAAAGAAAAAAAATACTGAAAGAGAGATACGACAATCTCTGTTTTTTTTTTCTATTTTGGTATTGGACAAAAATGTAATAAAAATTTTAGATCTCTGAATTGTACGGTCAAGATCGAAAACTATATCAGGAGATTAAGATCCCACGTGCCTAAAAACTGTACCCTCTCTCTCTATCAGACTCTTTTTCCCTATAAAATCCTCGGCCACACTTGTTTTGGGGGACAGTACACTAAATCAAAAGACAGAGAGAAAGACCAAACAAAAAAACAAAACCTTCCATTTCAAGAAAGCATCGTTTTGTTTTTTTTTTCTCTGTCCGAAAAATGGAAGATCTTGAAGATGAGTACAAGAATTACTGGGAAACCACAATGTTCTTCCAGAATCAAGAACTCGAATTTGACAGGTACTTCCAGAATCTGTTAAATTTAATTATCTTCCATGTTTTTGTTTTTAGTTGATTTTTTAAATAATGAAATAATTATAATTTTTAGTTGGCCGTTGGAAGAAGCGTTTTCGGGTTCCGGCGAGACAAGTTCGCCGGACGGAGCGGCAACATCGCCGGTGTCTTCGAAGAACGTTGTCTCTGAGAGGAATAGACGGCAAAAGCTTAATCAGAGACTCTTCGCTCTCCGATCAGTCGTTCCCAATATTACCAAGGTGTGATTAATGGCTTCTCTTATTGATTTACTCATCTGTCTCTTTTATCCAAATAATTTAATGACTCAATGAAGTGTCGTCACCAGCAAATATTTCTTGGGTCAACAGAAATTAAATAATCGAATGAACTTTTCTCTTCTTTCTTTTCTTGGAAATAAAATTGTTATATTCAATCTAGTTAGGCCAAAACCAACCACCATTAAATTGAAAAGGCAAACCAAATACTCATCTTCTGAAACCATGTCAAGCCAAACTAAAGATATATATTGGTATGCTAATTACCATAATAATAAATGATTGTATACGTGTAATGATTTGATGAGACCTGGATTTAATTAAAAATATATATATAGTTGGACAAGGCGTCTGTGATCAAAGATTCAATCGATTATATGCAAGAACTGATTGATCAAGAGAAGAGGCTAGAAGCAGAGATCAGAGAGCTGGAATCACGATCAATGTTGCTAGAAAATCCTCCAAGAGACTATGATTGCATCAATAATTTCGCGGAAAATCAGCAGCAAGATCTCTCAGACATAAATGGCATGAGGTCAAAGAAATTCAAGCATATCGATTACAATACTTTCGGATCATCAAACACTAGAGTACATAATCACTCCCTCATCGAAGTTCTCGAAGTAAGTACAGTATGTAACTTTGTTACATGCATGATTTTGTTTGTAGGTTTCAAAATAGTAAAGCATAATTCCAAAATTTTTTCATAAAACAAAAAAAAAAATTGAAAAGATGAAGGTGACGTGGATGGGAGAGAAGACAGTGGTGGTATGCATAACATGTAGCAAGAAGAGAGAGACAATGTTGCAGCTTTGTAAAGTGTTGGAATCTTTGAATCTCAACATTCTTACTACTAACTTCTCTTCCTTTTCCTCTCGTCTCTCCACCACTCTCTTCCTCCAGGTAACTCTCACTCTCTCTATTTTTATTCATTTTCTTACAATTTCTTTATAGGTCCAGATGTATATGTTTGGTAAATTTACTACATTTTGTGTTAATTAGCACAAATGTAGTGAAACATACATCATCTTTTTAGGTCAAAGTCTAACTCTAAACGGAGTTACATAAAGATTCTCTTGTTTTAGTTTACGCTTATTTTGCAGTGATCGAACAAAGTTATATAATGTTATTATAAAAATATAATAATACAATTAATTTAAAAAATTTGATTCAAAACTTGTTTAGATCGATATGTTTAATGTTGATTAGCTATAAAACTAGTTTATGGCACTTAAAGCCTGTAGGACATTAAAACACACCAACCAAACAATTTTGTCCATTTTAATCCGTCACAAGTCACTACTATATATCTTTTCCTTTTGGTGATTTGGGAGAACTGGTCTCCTGACGGCACGTAGACAAATCCATACAGGTATAGATCAATCAATCAATTACGTGAATAAAATCATATGACTAAAATAGTCTAAAGGCTTTATAAAAGTTCATTTTTCTTTTTTGGGAAAAGAAAATTGGTAGTTCTTATTCATTAGTAAAAATTAAAAATGCTTAAATAATCTAAACTATTTTTGGGGGATCCACTATCAAATTCAAAAGGGTAAAACTTTAGACGGACCCATTTAATTACCACTTTGTTCCCACATGTCTCCATTCATGGACCTTTAATTGACACTAGTACACCATACGTATAACTTTTTTTAATCTTGATATTGTATTTAATATCATAATCAATCAATTAAAGCTCCCATTATTGAGGTGGCCTCGAGCCCATCACTTTATTTTTTGAATTTGGCATTGACTTTTTTGGGGGTTAGATTCTCTTAAAAGCTTAATGTCATACTATAGTACTTCATTAAAATTTTAAAATTTTTTATTAAATTTTGTGTGTGAAATCTAAAATGCCTCGTGTCGCATCTGCAGCTGAAAAACGTGGCTATTTATACCTCACGCGCTTCAACATTTGTCTTTTTCTCGCTTACAGTTTCGCACGTGATTTTCCTAGCTAAAATAAATAACAATAGCCAATTAGCAATATTCATTTTAGTTAATTTCAATAACAATATTGATTTAGAGTTATATCATTCCTCTATCTATTTTCTTATTGTAAAATAGTAGGACTTTTATTGAAAATCTAACTATCAAAATGCTAATTTCGTGATCTGTAACACTCTATTATTCTTTCAAAAAAACATTCTATATTCACACGAATATATTATAATAGTCGCTGTAGGTTGGAAAAATACCAATTACAACAAATTTGATTATTTCCTGTCTGACAAATGAATATAATAGTGTTGTGTTGTTTTCGCCCACCTTTATAACATTTTAGTTTTTTATTAATAATCAGACGCTAAAAATACAGTAAGGTAGACCAGTGAGAAATGGAGTCATGTAGATTTGGTGAAATCTTACTCCAATCATTTCTCTAAAAAGAAAAAGAAAAGTGGATGATTTTCACTTTCCAACCTGTCCTTCATATGTCGTTTTCAAATTATATAAAAGAAATGATTTACACTCTTTTTTTCCACGGAAAATAATTATATTACTTATGCTTGTCCTTGTAGTACATTGTAAGGGTTTACTTTTATGATCGGTTTTTATTCGTTTATGTGTAAGTATAGTAGTGGGATATTAATTTATGAATAATCTGATTTTAGTTATGGAGATGGTAACTTAATCCTGAATTTGCAGGCGGATGAAGAAGAGAGGAGTACAGTAGAGACGAAAATACAAACGGCAATTGCAGCTTATAATGATCCAAATTATCTTATCAACTTATGATTGATTTCTTTGTACTAAAATCGGTTTTATGCAATATTTGTGAAGAGGTATTGTTGTAAGATGGTACTATTGGTTCATTTGAGCTTCAAAGCATCTGACGAGGATTATTAAAAACTAATTGTAATCCAGATCAACCACGAAGTAATAGGCTAAAAACATATAAATAAATATGACTTCTTACAGATTTTATGAATATATTTTCTTGAATGAAGAACAGAAATCAAATGCATATTGTAAGTAGAAAATAGTGAAATTGACCATTTGTTTCTATTTGATCTATGAAGTTAGGCAACAAATGTTCTTTAACTAATTATTGCGAATGAATACTTTCGCTATTTTTACCCATCTAACCGTCAAACAACTTCTTACAACTTTATTAAAAATGTGGTTATCCAATCAGATAATAAACAATAAGCCAAAATCTCTTAATTTTCTTGTGTTCTAATTTCTAAACCTAAAGTAAAAGCTCAATTATTTTGGAAAAGAGAGTAAAAGAAAAGTTAAAAACTTGGAATTAGGAAATGTGTTAAATCAACAGAGCTAAAATTCTATTAATTAAAACCCCAGTGTTTTTTTTTTCCGGGATTTATTTCAAGTTTAAATGACACATACAAATTGATAAACACAAAAGCTACATGAGGCATTCTTTAGTTATAAAGAATCTAACAACACCAAAACTTCTGCTAGAGATCTAAGTTTCTTTTTACCTTTTCTCCTTGATCTCTGCTGTTGGAACATATACTACCGAGTCTTCTTCAGGTAAAGAAGAAGAAGACTTGCCTAACTTTTTACGGCCTTTCGGTGTTCTAAATCTCTCAAGCCTCTGCGTCACATCCAGTAACTTGTTTTCTGCCATACAAAGCACCTCCATCACTGCTTCGAATTCTTCCTCTTCAGTCATCTTCCTCTCTGTCTCCTTATCCTCAAGAGGAGTCTTTAAGCTCATTTCGCTGCCTAGCTCTTCATGTGGCTGTACATAAAATACGCAGGATAAATAAATGAAAAAGTTCTAAAATTATCCAAAGCCACCGGTCAATGCAAGTTCATAGGAGTAATACTGAATCAATAACTTAGTTATGCTAAAAGGGTTAATTTTGATTCATACCACTAGAGTGAAAGAAGAGTCCTTCTGCTCCGGATCCTGTTGACTTTCATCTTCTATGGATTTAGGCAAGGAGACATTGGCGAGTTGAATTTCCTCCTGGTTATCAATACAGGGAGAAATTGTTGTCTGATTCGTAGAATCATTAAATCCGAGCGGAATAGTCTCGTCCATGGTTTCTTGAGTTTCATTTGTTTCTGTGTTAGTCTCGTCCACAATATCTTGTATCTCATTTGTTTCTGTGTTTTTCTCCATGACAGTCTCGTCCACAGTGTCTTGTATCTCATTTGTTTCCGTGCTTTTCTCCATGACAGTCTCGTCCACAGTGTCTTGTATCTCATTTGTTTCTGTGTTTTTCTCCATGACAGTCTCGGCCACAGTATCTTGAATTTCCTTTGTCTCTATCTTCTTCTCCATGACTGCTTCTGGTCTAGAATCGCCAGAGAACACCTTAGAATCCTCAGGTTGTTTCACGCTCTCCGTCTGTAATAGGAAAAAAATGACCAAATGATTGATCTCATTGTAAATTTTTTAAGCCTATGAAGGAGTCTAGAGAATCTTCAGATGTGAGAATCGAGCAAGTGATAATTTTGTAACAAGTTATTTACCTTTCTATTCCTCAATGCCATATACCGTGCATTTTTGAACCATTTGCTGACCTGAAAAATGAAATTTAAGCAAAGAGCCAGCAAAAACTTGTATCCGTAAGATTACTTTTTTATGGTCTCAGTGTTACCTTCTCTGGTTCAAGACTCAACTCTTTTGAAAGACTATCCCTCACAGCTTTTGAAGGAAGCTCATTCTCTGCAAACACTTGACGTAGCTTCTGGTACATTTATGCAAACAATTTAAACTTAGTAATGGGATTCTTCTCAATCTCCTTTTTTTTTTTTTTTTTTTTCTTTGTCTTTCGGTAACTACACATAAAAGACTAAAACAGGGAAGTAGCAATTCCAGACCTCAACTGCATCTCTTGGGAGTCTGAACATCGGCCTTCGCCCTCCTTTGCCTTCTACAGAGACAGAATCTTTCTCACTCTGTTCAGGTATTTCTTCAACATCTTCATCTTTCTTCCTGTTTTCGCACATAGTTACAAGTGTGCTTGCTGCATCAGATTCCTTTCTTCTCTTCCTTCTGTCACTCGGACCCCAGTCTTCGTCTTCACTACCTTGCTCTTGCAAAACAGCATCCTTTCCAAACATTTCCTTATACAGAAAACAAAAAAAGAGCCGAAAATTTCACCACCAAAACAATCATCAATAACAATTCGAAGCAGATCAACATTCATGGATGTTGTACTCACATGGTATAATTTTGTATAGTCAACAGTCTTCCGCTGTCTTGGCCCACATACAGTTTCTTCATTACTTGTCTCGCATGATTCCAACATATTTCCAAATCCATGGCCTTCCCACGATCCTGTTGAAAGGGCTACACCATCAGAAGCTAGGCTCAAGCTAGTTGAAATGCTTTCTCCATCATTATCACCATCACCACCACTATCGCTTCTGCTGTTGCTTACTCCACCGTTTTCCTTCATTTCAGGGTCATAATCACCATCCTCAGAGTCATCCGAAGGCCAATCTGCTTCGTTGTTAAGCGTAGCTTCAGATCCAATAGGAAGACTAGCTTCTTCATTGAAGATATCCTTATCAACATAAAAAAAAGTGTGTGAGAGTTTCATAACTAGAAGAGTAAAGCAGAGTTCTTGTCGTGTGAAGTATCTCTCTATCTAGCGTTCAAACAAAATGAAACACTTTGGTATTTGCATAGTTTTACCTGCCAGTTGCTGTCCACGGGGAAATGAGTTCCTATTTGCGCATTCATTGTGTCAATGATTTCCATTTTGCAATCACAATATTTGCAGAACCAGCCCTGGTCTCCAGGAGGAACTGTTGAAATTATGTAAAGAAAAAATCAGATGGAGAAGTCAAAGTGCATAGACTCTCTAAGACGTATATGGAATAGATAGTCAAAGCATACTGCTTTCTGTTTCCAAAGGAGGGTCAAGGCACTTCTGGTGAAATGCGCGATTACACGTTCCATCACATAGTATTATATCGTTGTCCTGAAAAGCTTCTCGAGAATTGCATTCCGCACAAAATATCTGCAAAAGGAAACACCCCGTTAAGCAATTCTCCACTATGCCTATAGTGTAAACATGTTTATGGTGCGTGCGATTAAAATTCCTATAATAAATCTACGGGGATAGCGAATGACTATATTTCAAAGCGAGTACATAGAGATTTGCTTACATGGTCATGATGAATAGAACCATCTGGAGCCATCACTTTCTCTTCGATGCTTCCCACTGAACTAAGCATATCCAGCTGACGAATGGCGTCGCGTAGACCAAGCTTGCAGTTTAAGATCTGTTTCCGAGCTCTCTCAAGCTCCTTGTCTGGTCTTATCTTTTCCCGGCTGAAGATAACATGAAAATACAAGTGTCAAACCAAATAAGGGCATGATTGTTTCTTTTGCATTTCCATTTTGAAATTTACAAATGATGATCAAAACATTATAAACATGTAAACGCAAAAGGAAGTGCAAAGTTTGTTTTTACGTTTAAAACAATCGTGGCCTAAGGAGAAGTAGGAATAAATTTTTGGTTTGGAAACAAAAAAAAAAAAGGTTTTTGATACTACTCGTAAACACATCTATCAACAGAAGAATTGAGAACAACAAAACTTAATAAAACTCGTTTTGGTAATATATCCAAAAAAATCGTAAGATTTAAAACTTTTCCACATAGGAAACATTGAGTCAGAAGAGAGTAAATTCAATTGCTGTACCTCTGACCTTTCCAACCTTCAGTTGCATATGCATCAATAAGATTCTGCTGCATCTTCATCTTAATAAGCAAATACCTTGTTCGCCTCTGCAATCTCAACGCTTCATCTAACTCGACCTTATTATCCTTTTGTTGTCTCTTACTTTTCCTCTTCCTTGTTCTCTTACCCTTCTCCTCTTCCTCCTCCTCCTCGCAACGAACCCATCCTCGAGAATACTTCTTGTTCCTGGATTTTGAACAGATTTCTTCCTCGGTTTTGCGCTTATTATACTTTCTCTTGTTTGTTGTTTCTTTGCCTTTCTTCACCAAAGATGAGAGTAAGGTAGAACCAATTCTCTCAACTGGAACACAAGCCTTATCGGTTTCTTGCTCATTTCTCCCCTTTTTTTCACTCTCCTCCATGTCGAGTTCCCCGATCACAGAGACTTACTCCTCTTACCAGATCATATCATATCATATAAGATCCTTACCCTGAACATTCAAAACCCTTTCCTTATCACAATCTTCCCTTCACAAATGAGCCAACAACCCAATTTGAGAACAAAATCATAATTATGATTCTTGATTTCTATTCATTGACATCCCACAATGAAAAGGACTGAATCAAGTCCTCTACGAATTGAGAAACACTTAAACACATATACACATTTAAGACACTGCTAAATTCAGATATGTTTTTTTACTTTTAACTGAAAGATTACAGATTTCTGATTAAAGCCGACACTTGCAGACAATATAACGAAACAGATCGAACATTAGACTAATCAAGAAAACAACCTTCGTATATAACAAACAGTACTCTCTCTTCATACATAATAACTCTGTAACTAAATTGAGCAAAGGAATCGCAACTCTTAACCAATCGAAAGAAGCAAACAGCAGAAAATTGAGAAAGCCATTCAATTTTCAGAGTTTTTGACAGAAGAAGCAAACCTGGAAGAGAGTAAGGAGATGGGATTGAAGAAAGACAGCACTGAATCAATTAATTACGGATTGAGAAAGATGAAGCCAAAAAAAGAAGATCTTTCCCAAAAGGTAAATGGGAGCTTTAAAGATATTTTTCTTCGGCGGGTTTGAGTAACCGGCGGCGACTTGGAAGGGTGCTTTCAACGGTCGGGTTTACGTCACTCTCCGTTCCCTTTAGATGCTTTGCTTTGGTAATGCGCCCAACTCTTATGTATTTTCACTTTAGGTCCCTGTATTTAGACAGTTTGTCTCAGATTGTCTTAAGGTTTTAGAAAATTCCTTTTTACGCCAGCAAGTCTTCCGTTTCGATCGCGTTGAGATTCGTTCCCTTTTTTTTTGAGTTTAATTTTATTTTTTTTCTGAATATACAAACGCGTCGGTCGAAAAAAAAAATTAATGAATTACAAATACGTCATTTGAAAAATAAATGGACCTCTAGCACAGTATTGCTTTTCAAGCCCAATAAAAAGGTTATAGGACCAAGTCATTAACTTAAGCCCATTATGAAAAAAGTGAAAAGGTGATTTCAGATTCTATTATTCTAATTAGATTTTAAGTTTCTAGAAAGATGAATCTAATTAAGAGGTCGGGTCGGGTATTTATGGTCGGCAAAAAACCAGTGGTCGGAAAAAAGCCAGTGAGTCGGTTCGTGGATATTTTAAACTTTACAAAATTTATCTGTTTACGTAGGTCATATAGTTAACCGTAAAATTAAATTGAATCAGGATTAAACTAAGGTTAAGCTTTAAATAGACTTAGGTCAGAGTAAACACTCTTTAGACATAGTTTTCATCATAAAGACATAATGCATTTTTCTTTTTTACATTTGCACGTATATTAAATAAAATGGTATATCGAAATCATAGTTGGGTACAGTATCGAAATCCTAGAGATGTTAATTGATTACTTCTACATTTTGATTCTTTCATTTTGTGCTACTAGTCTATCTAATTTGTGTTGTCAGTATTCAGAACAGTCACATGGGTGGATCCGAGATAAGAACAAAAGCTGGCCATAAAACAAACTTTGGTGTTTTTCACACTATGCACACATTGACAATGTAATAATCAGTCACCGACTATTAATTTATGCTGTCTAACTAATTTGATTGCAAGAAACCAAAAATGTAATTTATGTTTCTATTTAATGGGATGCCTCATGCATTACTCCGAAGTGCCATTTTAAATAATGACATGTGGGCCTAAAATGTATTATTATTATTATTTTTTTTTTGACATATATATTGGAGGGTCCTATTCATATGAAAGTCTTGTTGCTTTGCAAAATTATTGTTATCCCTTCACATATAAATGATGGGCTATAGAGAGTTAGAGACAAACCGATCAAAGATTGTCTGCTAATGCACATTTTTACAGCTACAAATAATTTCGATTACTGCCTTTTTAAGATTGTGTGATGTTGTGACAAGTTCGATGGCCTAGTCTGATCTAATTTTAGCTGGATTAGTTTACTACAAATCGGTTTTCATAACTTTTGACTTTTTCTTCGGGAATTTATTTTTACCATTTAACCCGTAGATCTTTGATCCATCCCGACGTCAGATTCTAAAGATGTCAAAACTTGACTCTGGTATATTAAGGTTTTTACATATCATATTTTAGTTTATTGTTTATTTTGCCAACCAAGCGGATTTTTTCATCCTTTACGTTTAAATTATAAATCAAAACTTAAATTATCAATTTGTGTTGCTGTTACAAGTACCAAATCTTGAATTATAAACAAACATGAGTACACTGGGGCTTAGGAAGTTGTAGTTAGTGAGTTGCTTTCACCTAATTGTCGGAAAGAGATTCATATATATAATCATAATGGGTATTAGTTGTCACATTTTTATTTGTACTAGATAAATTAAGTTCTCTGATTGCAACGGTTGACATATATATTTAGAGTTTATGTTTAAATAACTTATCGTCTCTTAACTTACAATTAAACTAATTAGGTACGAAATTAATAAAGATATAAGATGAACATTGTATTGGAGGGTTGTTCCAAAAAAAAAAAACATTGGATTGGAGGTGAATATACTGTTCTTCTCCATTGGAAAAATGGAGGTGACGCAGAGGGGATCCACGTTTAAACGTTTGTGTGGCGTAGAAGATTAGGGGACGACGCTGAAAACAGTAAAATACTCGAGAAAATATTATAATTGTACGATAATATAATGGGGAAGCCAATTTGAGGACCGACTTTTTCTAACAACTCTCCGGCTCTTTTTAGATGCATCTAATAACACCAATCATTCATGCATTGCCTCAAGATAATATGACTTTTCGCGTCCACTATAAATTATATTCTCTCAAAATAAATATTATAAAATAAAATGATAGTGAATACTAAATTTTGGTGCGTGGTCGTGTTTTATTGTTTATTTGTTTTCTACAACTGAATATAGGTTAATTGATAAAGACTACTTAAAGGTCCACATAGATGACAGTTCGGCTCGAGTTATAAACACTCGTGTGGAAGCGAGTATTGAAAGTTTTGTAAAAAGATTGAGGTATGCGATTCATCTTGTATCAATTCATTGACTGGTAATAAGCCATGTTAGATTCATGAACATGATTTTAAAAAAATGATTGTTTGTGACCTTTGCGATTACACACAGTCGTAATCATGACTATGGAGAAATTAGTTATCGATGAATCAATTGAGTAGATATCTTTATGATGCATCGTTTTTTAAGTGAAGAAAACGCTGATATTCATTGTGTTTGTGTTGCATATTGATATTATAAATTTGTTTTTATGAGCAATAATTAATGAGGTTGTTTGGTATAAATTTTTACTTTAGATTTTATTTAAAAATAAATAATAAAAATTTTGCTTTTAAAATAAAAATATGACGTTAAAAAATTAAAAGTTTCATGAACGTAATTAAAAAAATGGAAGTTTAAAGAGTAAAAAAAAGAAATGAACATTTGAAGTTGTAGAGATAAAAGCAAAAATAAAAACATGTTTGACAAAAAATTAACTTTTAAAACTGAATAAGTTCTTACAGTCAAACATCAAGCAACCCTAACATCAAATATTGTTTTAACTTTTAAAGTTACAAGATGAAACTTTACAACCCTAGTACGAATTATAAGTGATTCACAAGAACAAAACATAGTTTCTCTTAAGAGCAGCAGCTCCAACAGCAGTTTCTAGTGGGGTTTTGATAGAGTTTTAATTAAAAAAATAATGTTTTATTGCTTAATTTCTTTAGAACCGATCTTAATTTTAGAATTTTAAGAGTCTCATCACAACCCTATACGTGTCAGTTTCTGATTGGTGCGGTGGTAATTATTTTTTTTTAAAAAAATTTTCTCTCAAAAATCGAATTCTCACACAAATTTTTTTTTTTCTCTCATCGACATTCTTTGTAGACATTTTTTTTCTCTCCTTATGCGGAGAAATCGAAATCCTATGTGTCTGTGATTTCGAAATTGAAATCGAAATCATGCATGTGGATTCGAACAGAGACATGGTGTGGAAGCTCTTCAAATTTTGTGGAAGCTCTTAAAATCAATCTGAAATCTGTCTCATGGTAAGTTTCTGGAAGCTGTTCTAATTTTGTAGGTGAATTGCTTAATTTTGCGTTATGAATTGCTGAGTTTGTGGAAGCTATTCGAATTTGTTTTAGCTGATTTGCTGGGTTGCTGGATTTGCTGGGTTTTCTGATTTGTGTGATGAATTGATGAATTGCTGGGTTTTTTGATTTGTTTATTCCCTGTGTGATGTTGTTTAAGGATACTTTGCTATTTAAGAGAGGATGAGATAAAGGAAGACAAGAAGAAGAAGAGAGAGAGGAGAGGAAGAAGGAGCTGAAGAGAGAGACGAGCAAAGGAACGAAGCAGATGCTGTTTTATGTAAACTCAATTTTGGTTTGGCATATCTTGTGATGCCACCAAATGGAAAGAAAAAAAAAGTTTTTTAAAACCTTGAACCCCTGAAAGATTCAACTATTGGAGATGAATTATTTGCAAAACTAAAATGAGGTTGTTAATTTATTTTTTTGTTCAATTTAGTATTAAAAAATTGTTAAGAGCCCCAAAAATAGATTCTATCATTGGAAATGATCTAAGACCCCACACATACATTTACGTCTAGGTCTATCCAGATTGACACGTAATGGAGACGTGTCGTGAAGGCTTACTTGGATATGACTTTTTGCTAAATGTAATTAACCTCGTGGCTAACGCCGCCACATCTGAAATTCGAGGAATATGCCTTTTAGTACTTACAGTCTAGCATTTCCTGACATAATTTATAACCCCTGTAGTTGAGTTTAACACTGAATCTGAATGTTAAAAATTAAATGAATGTATAATTTGTGTATATATATATATATATATAAAAAGGAATGTATAATTTGCATGGCCATGCAAACCAATCCAATCTTTTTTTCACCGTCAATGGAAAATTTCATCATTAAAAAACTTATGTGAGTTCTCTGTAATCTGTACATGTATAGATTTTATCAGTAATAACAATATCTGTTTTACCTGTTCATAGTAGACATGTCTTGTTAAGATTGATGAGCGTACTATAATTGTCTTGATCCAGTATTGTTAAGATTTTATAGTTGGGAAAATCTTGAATCAGAAGATTGAAAATTTTCTGGATAGATCTTATTAACAAACTAGTTATATATTAGGAGTGATCGTTTTTTACAACTTAAAGATTAGAAATCAAAACTCAGCCTTGTAATTTCACAATTTTGAACGGTAAAAGAATTTTAATACAATGCTATTGAGTACCATTTCGAATATTCAAAGGATATTATTAATGAGTCTTTTACAATCACTGAAAAACAGCGTATTTCGTGGTAAAATTTTAAAATATACACCTATAGACTATAGTATACTCGATGTCAAAAAACGAAGAAGACTATAGGATTCTCATTGAACAGTCATTAGTTTAATTTTATTGAATAAGCAAAAGAGAAATAGAATAATCAGTAGTCAATGAATAATGGCTTGCCCAAAAAAGGTCAATTAATAAAACAAAGAAAGAATAAGAACAGAACAAACAAAAAAAAAAGGGTATTTGAGCTGGTGCTTCTTCATCTTCACCACTTTGCTCAGACAGGTCACCTTTTAGTTTGCTTTCCTCACGAAACAAACAAACTTCTTATTTTCTTCTTTATTGAGAGGGATGAGAAAATTATTGGAGCTGCTCTGAAAAAAATAAACCTTTTCTTTTTCTTTGTCATTCTGACTATCTTTTGCTTGGATTCGGAGAGAGGAAGGAGAATTGATTCTCTCTCTCTCTCCTATTTTATTGTGTTCCGATCTGATCGGAATTTACATTTCTTCTATTCTCATCTTCAGGTTCAATTTCCATTAAGTTTCTTCCTCTAGTGTCAAGGGAGAAATTTCCTGGTGACGTCTTAATCATTGATTTCACGAAGAATATTTATCTCTTCGTTGATTCTTTTACAATTTTGTGAAACCGGAGAAGCAAAAGCAAGAAGCTTTATGGTTCTGTCGGAGATAGAGCCATCTATGTCGGAACCACTGGTAGACGAATCTGATCGTCGTTTCGCCAATCTGAGAGGCGTACGGTGGCGCGTGAATCTCGGTGTTCTTCCGTTTCAAGCTTCATCGATCGATGATCTTCGCAAAGCTACAGCTGAATCTCGCAGAAGGTAGCTTTTAAAATTACAACAATGTTGGTGTTTATTACAAGTATGACAATTTTGTGATGTTGCCAAAAGTTTCCTATTTTGGGAGACCAAAAATTCGGCGTTCAATAAAATTTGAGATTTCTGGGTTTTAGCAAAAGATTATTTTCTTTCCTCTCTAAATTGGCAAACTTCATATCATCAATGTAGATATGCTGCTTTAAGGAGACGCATCTTGATAGATCCACATTTGTCTAAAGATTTACGAAATTCCCCTGATCTCTCAATCGACAATCCCTTATCACAAAACCCAGGTAAAAAAAATCTTCTGTTGATTCCCAGTTTCTTGTACATTGTCATTTGATTGCTAAGATTCTTGGGGTCTTACTATAGGAAACCTTTTCTAATGCAGATAGTACATGGGGTCGGTTCTTTCGTAACGCTGAGCTAGAGAAAACACTGGATCAAGACTTATCGAGGTTATATCCAGAGCATTGGAGCTACTTTCAAGCTCCTGGATGTCAAGGAATGTTAAGACGTATTCTACTCTTGTGGTGTCTTAAACATCCCGAGTACGGATATCGACAAGGTACACCGTGTGTTGTGTCTTTCAAAAAGAGTAGACTTTTTGGTTACTAAAGATAATCTGACTTTAGTTTTCATGTTTCGGTTTTTGTAGGAATGCATGAGCTTTTGGCTCCTCTGCTTTATGTGCTTCATGTTGATGTGGAGCGTCTCTCTGAAGTGCGTAAAAGCTATGAAGATCATTTCACGGACAGATTCGATGGGTTGTCTTTTGAGGAAAGAGATATTACTTACAACTTTGAGTTCAAAAAGTTTCTGGAGGATTTCACGGACGATGAGATCGGTGGTATTCAGGGAAATTCCAAGAAACTAAAGAGCCTAGATGAGCTCGACCCCGAAATCCAATCCGTTGTGTTGCTAAGCGATGCTTATGGAGCCGAAGGAGAACTCGGGATTGTCTTGTCTGATAAATTCATGGAGCACGATGCTTACTGCATGTTTGATGCTCTGATGAGTGGAGCTCATGGTTGTGTCTCAATGGCTGGATTTTTCGCTTACTCTCCAGCTAGCGGATCCCACACGGGTTTACCTCCCGTTCTTGAAGCGTGCACTGCGTTTTACCATCTTTTATCGTTTGTTGATTCGTCTCTGCATAGCCATTTAGTGGAACTCGGAGTTGAGCCTCAGTACTTTGGTCTTCGTTGGTTACGGGTTTTGTTTGGAAGAGAGTTTTTGCTTCAGGATTTGTTGGTAGTGTGGGATGAGATATTCTCAGCAGATAACACGGCGAGAAATGATGAGGCTAACAACACAAACCAGAGCTTCAAGATCTTTGATTCTCCTCGGGGCGCTTTAATCTCTGGAATGGCGGTTTCGATGATATTATCTTTGAGATCTTCTTTGCTTGCTACTGAAAACGCAGCTTCTTGTCTCCAAAGACTGTTGAATTTCCCGGAGAAGATTGATGTGAGGAAGATAATAGAGAAAGCTAAGTCATTACAAGCATTGGCTTTGGACGATGATGTACGATCATCAGCTCTGTTGATTAACAGTGTCTTTGATCAGAGCATCAGCCCTGCAGTACCGGCGAGAACTAGCAGCTTCCCTTCGGGATCCACTTCGCCTAAATCTCCACTGATAATTACGCCACAGAGTTATTGGGAGGAGAAATGGAGAGTTCTTCAGCAAGCCGCCGAGGAACAGAAACAGAATCCTTCAACACCGAAGAAAAAGGCATGGTTTAAGGTGAAAAGACTTTTCAGAGCAGAGTCTGAGCCAACTCATAACACCAAGACAGTAAAGGAAGCCAAGGTATCATCAGTGGCACGTAACTTGCTGGAAGATTTTAATCGGCAGGTTGTTTCTGAACCTGAGGAAGCTACTATAGTAGATGTTGTGAGCAATGAGAATAGCTCAGTTCAACAAGAAACTGAGGAAGCTAATACAGTAGATGTTGTGAACAATGAAGATAGTTCAGTTCAAGAAACTGAGGAAGCTAGTACAGTAGATGTTGTGAACAATGAAGATGGTTCAGTTCAAGAAACCGAGGAAAGAAATATGAGTTTCGAAACTGCTGGTGAAGAGAGTGTAGCAGCAATGGAAGAGAACTCATCTGATGCCTTCTCAGATCCAAACAGTCCACTCAGAGATTCGAACTCCATTGAGAATGATTCAGATAGCAGTACCGGGTCGATTCTGTTTGCCAATGAAAAAGTTAAAGATCAAGAAACAAGCGCAGTAGATTCTCCTCTTCCCCTTTCTTCTCAGCCGAGCATCGAGTTTCCAGTAACTCGGTCTAATAACGAAGAGGACAGCGCAGATAGATCTGTGACCATTATCAAGGAGCGTAGTAAGGTTTTACCGGGAAAATTCCAATGGTTTTGGAAGTTTGGACGCAATCTCACTGGCGAGGAGACAAGATCCTTCGGTGTTGAAAGTAGTAAGAGCGATTTGGTTTGCTCTTCCGAGTCACATTCCCTTCCGCAGGCTTCATCTTCGAGCAGCAAAGGAGACTCAGACCAGAATGTGATGAATACTCTAAAGAACCTTGGCAATTCCATGCTCGAACACATTCAGGTAAAACTCATTCTCATTTACTCATTCTTTCAGATGAAAGTAACAAATCAAACGTTCTGATGAGTTTTGACCATATTATATTCAGGTGATCGAATCGGTTTTCCAGCAAGAACGAGGTCAGGTTCAGGCAGGATTGATGGAGAACATATCTAAGGCCAATTTGGTCGGAAAGGGACAAGTCACAGCCATGTCAGCTCTCAAGGAGCTTCGGAAAATCAGTAATCTTTTGTTGGAAATGTGATGAACCTTTTTCATTCGTCTTCTTCTCCCCCTGTGCATATATTCATCCTATTTTTTGTAAAGTATTGTTTCTTAGAGCACGGAATAAAAAAGCTAGCATTTTTCTTATAGGCTTGTTCTCTGTCTCTAAGAAAATTTTGCTGTAGAAAACCAATTTTTTGGTTTAACGGTCATGTATAAGATGATATAAATAAAGATGCATAATTTGTCTGAATTCCGCTGCTTTAAACAATAAAAGGCAAAAGGATGCAAATTGCAGCTCACATACATTAAGTTGTTGAAGATTTGGGTCTTAACTTAAAAGGTTATAATTTTCTATACTTTTCACACATGAGATAAAGTAGAAGACAACACTTTCTTTTAAAAGTTGACGAAGATGAGAGCATGCAGAAAAAGAGTCTAATCTATGTTATGGAAGCCAGGGAGTAGTGAAGTTATGAAACCGAAAACTATCATCTGAATCTCTTTCACTATTCCCCACCATTGATTCCCTTGGTGTCCTGCATCCACATTTTCATTTCCGTTTGCTCGGTTCCCATTATCAGCTTCATTCTCTTGTCCCTCTACAAACACAGAAAAGATAAATTGCTTCTGCATAAGTTGTTGCTGTGATTGCTTTCAGTTAATACCATGGGAGAGAGATACAGCAAAAGTAATATTACCGGGAACCGCATCTTCGTTTAGTGGGATAGCTGCTGCCGGATCATTATCAGCTCTCGCAGCAGGTCTATGAGGTCGAGGTGGTGGCACTGCTGCTCTATGCATACCTTGTGAGAGCCATCGCACAAACGGTGCAAGGGCTCCAGTTTGGTATCTGTCAAGTTTCCACACCAAACAGAGATCAGCTACAGCATTTCAAACTCTTTATCAATACTTTAGGGATTAATGGGCCCTCAAGACACCACAGATTTATCATGAATCATGCACTTGAGAGGTCGCTCTATATGGCTGAAAACCATAAGATATACCAGCATAAGAATGAAATCAGAGCCAGATTCTTAAGGCTTACAAGTAAATTATGGTGGCGAAAATCACAAGTACAGCGAGCCTTTGTCTTGATCCATCTTGGTTGAACAAAAAGATGACAGCAGCAAGCTTGAGTATGAGGAATATGTCAAGCTGAAACGCGATCTCAAATCTCCGTACCACCACTTGCCTTTGTTGTGCAGGTTGTTGCTGCTGCTGACCCTGCCCGGCTTGTGCTTGGTTCTCTCCCCCAGTCTCAGTCTCATTACTTGCTCTATTCCTAAGCATAATATAAAACCAAACCCAAAAGGATTCAATATCAAAGCCTCTAGCTTTCTACATTAAGTCATCTAAAGCCACAGTGCCACACCACAATCCACAAGTGATTTGGCCTAAACAATGGTTTGGATTTAACTACCAAGCCAATGAGGAAAGGGATTAACTTTTGCACAACCCCTTAATTCTTCTAGCTAAATCAGTTTATACATCCATGAAACCGTGGGAAATTCGAAGGAAATACTTACGTGGGAACATTGTAAGTGAGAGGGATAAGATAATTTGAAGGAAGACCAGCGATATGTCCTGCAAATTGATGCACAGGAACCGCATAAATCCCAGCTCCACGGTTCGTTTGCTCATCGTACTGTCCATGATTCAATCCGGGAAGAAGAGCCGGATAAAAAACCGGGTACATTGGAGAATCACCGTTGGGATAAGCTCGAGACCCAGAATCTGGATCCTGGAAATTGAAACACCCAGAAACGAATCAATTCACGATCAAACGCATGAATCGTTTGTTTTGTAAATCCGAATGTGAATTCAAGGGTCACACAAACCCTTAAATGATCTAGTGAAGGGAGAAATTTACTGAATTCGAAGAATCAAGTGGGACGACTACTAAATCAGAGGCAAGTCAACAATCGAATTTCGAAGAGAATTAACGAAAGCAAGTCACAAACCTGAGGCTTGATCCCAGCATCTTCGGGTTTTTTGTCAGAAGAAGGTTGCTGTAACGTTGGAGAAGACACCTTCTCGGGTTCTTCCGCCATTTCTCAAAGGATTCAACTTTAAGCAGAAGCTTCTCCCTCTCTGTTTTGAATCCGCCAAATTGTTCTTCTTTCCCTTCGCTCTGAAAGTCTGATAATTTTGGTTTAGAAGATGAATTGCGTCATCTCCTCCAGTAACTTTTCGACACGTCACCAATGCTTGTGACATTTTTTATTTTTGTATTTCTGGTAAATTGCATACAAACTCCTCGTCTTTACAAAAAAGTGTAATTTGTTCACCTAAATATTTGTTTTCACCTAATCCAAATCGAATTCAGTTCTGTTTTGTACTAAACTGAAAAATCTGACTATAAATCACATTGAAGGTTGTTTTTCTCTTCTTTTTCCGGCTAATTATGATTTATTGATTTCAAAACAAAAATACAGAGTCATTACTATGTTCATTACATTGTCATTACATTGAAGGTTGGTTTGTTTAACCATGCGAACGGGACAAAAGAAGGGCCTACTATGTGCAAGTCTTTGAGACTTGTCTTTAAGATAAATTCTGACTCCCGCTCCAAAAAGATATTTTGTCGAAAAGGTTTTTTTCTTCCCTGTTCAACTACAAAAGAAAGTATCTCTTATGTAATGTAATGTAATGTAATAATAGTTAATACTTAAAACCAACAATAGTTGTTGGTTCTATGCATATTACAAAGATATGTATGTTCTCTTAAACAGAAACTTAAGTGCATTCTTTCATACCGTAAAAGCTCAAACGTAACAAGTATGTAGTTGTATGACTTCATGGTATGGAACGATTTCAATGGAGGGAGTTCGTATGAGCTATAAATGATTGATTTAGTAGAAATCAATTAAATTATAAGGATTTCTGAATCCTTGTAGATTTTTTTTCAAATCAACTAAACGAATAGTTAATTTTTACAAGATTCATTTTATGTGTTGAAAAATTATGTTTTTAATATTCAAACTGTCATAGTTTACTACTGTAACATTTTTGAATGATAAAACTACACGGTAAACATAACATACCCATTTTCTACGTACGTCAAACCCATATTCTCAAATTTATAAGTTATACAAATAGTAAGAAACAAAGTGGAGAAGCGAATAAAAGATTATATATCGTCGTCACCGTAACGAGAGAAGTTAAAAGGAGAAGCGATGCGATGGATAACAATAGAAGGAGAGACGAATAAATCTGGCTCAGAGATGAGAACGCCGTCGAGGGTAAAACCGGAAGCTGAATTGTTGGTCACAACGATGGAGTTTCCAGAGAGAAGCGTAGGGAGGCGAGAGAAAGGCTTCATGAGGCTTATGTTGTTGAAGCCAAGCAATTGTGGGACGATGTGGTAAGCAGCAACGAGTGGTGACGTGGCGTTGATTCCTTCGACGGATGTTTTGGGGAGGAAGAGAGTGGAATTGAGAACTGGACCTTTTAGCTCGTCGTTTGTGGCCAGGAAAGCCTCGCTCCAATCTTCGAAACTTCCTCCGGAGATCATTGCGTCTATGATCTTTCTTGCGGTTTTGTATTGCTCCACCGAAAGAGAAGGAGGCAAAGGAGAGGAAGTAGTGGTGATGATAGTGATGGTGATGAGGAGGAGGAGGAGGAGGAGAGGGAGGTTTTTGGTGCTTGCCATGGAAGAAACCAGAAACCCTAAATTTCCTTAGGTCAATAAGATGGGGAATGAAGATTTTCTTGGAGTTTTGGAGGAGAAGAATTGCGTTGGTTTTTTTGTTATATAGTAAAGAATAATCTGTACTTTTAACGTGAAGACTATTGTAGTTGGATCATGTTAAATTAGTTTTGTAACGTTAATAGTTATAGTCTTGTAGACTTGTAGTTGGGGGATGCTAGCCTAGAAGTTGTTTAGATTATGTAGAAGAAGTTGTTTACTTGTTTATAGTTTTTTGGGTACTAGACATGCTTTTTCTAAATAAGTGCATTTACGCAGCTACTCATGGTTGATTTTATTTCCTACAAATTTTAGCTTTTTAGAAAAACTATAGCAAATAATATATAAGATCCTATAACGCTCAACTTGGACTCGAGAGAATAGGTAGACACTAGATTGATAACTATGCAAGATATATCTTAGTAATGTTTTGACATATGATTTTCGTACTATGAAACAATATGAAATGGATGTCTAGTGTATTTTTTGTGACGTTTTCATTTTACAAGACTAATAGCTAAAATGTATAAGATTTGCCAACAAAAGTTGATTCTCGGCTCCATGCATAAATACGACAGAGAACACTCAGAATTTATTTAACAGAGCCAGAAAAAAATGTAACTTTACAAAAATCTTAAAGATCACATTTTTTTCAAACTTGAAATGAAATGAAAAGCAAAAAGCAAAATGTACTAGGAGAGTTTCTTGATCTTACCTCGCTTGTGGAACCATTTCAGTATCTAAATTTATGGTCACCATTCTCACAGAATCTATCTGGCTATTTCGATCCGTTACTCTCCCCAAAACACTCTGTTTCAGCTCCATAACGACCTGACTCATTGTCGGTCTCTGCGCAGAACTCTCAGAGGCACAAGCCAGCGCTATTTCAGCGATCTTCCAAGCCGAGCCAGACTCAAATCTATCTCCTAGACGCTTATCTACAATGCCTCTTATGTCTCCATTCACCAACATTGAACCAACCTGATCACTTAGATGCACATTCTCTGTTGTTGAACGTGAAATCGCAGGTTTCCCTGTTATCATTTCAAGAAGAACCACCCCGAAGCTGAAAACATCACTCTTCTCGTTCATTTGTCGCGTTCTATAATACCTGAAATTTTACAAATATAAAACGATTGGAAACACAAGAACCAATACCCTTTTCTGGTTAATTTTTTTAGACTCAAAGATAGACTTAGTTACTCGGGGTCTAAGTAACCAATGGTTCCAGCGACAACGGTGGAGACTTGACCGCCACCTTCAACCGGAAAGCTTCTTGATAAACCAAAGTCAGCTATCTTCGCTTGAAGCTTCTCATTGAGTAAGATATTCGTAGGCTTCACATCTCTGTGAACTATGGGAGGCTTGCAACCGTAGTGGAGATACTCGAGACCTTAATTGATTGACAAGTCTCGTTCAGATTGCGCAATTTTAAGAAAATAAATATTATTCTGTTTGAGAAAATGGCTTCACAAACCTTGTGCTGCATCTAATGATATCTGCAATCTCTCTTCCCAGCTCAAGGTTAAGGAACTTTTGCCTTTATAAAAAGCAAAACAAAACAATGCTTAGTTAGTTAATTGCGTCAGTTAATACAAAAGAGTCGGCCGGGAACTAATTATGGAAACACTAACCTGACAAATAGTCTCCTAAGTTTCCATTAGCCATGTACTCGTAGATAAGTGCCATGTGTTTATCTTCGTTGCAGTATCCGATAAGAGATGTCAAATTTGTGTGATGGACTCTCATCAGAAGCTCAACCTGAGAGAATAATATAGATTAGTTTGGATACTGAAATTATTTAAAACTACAAACAAAATGGTAAGTTAAAACATGTAAGTAGAAAATGACCTCAGCTCGGAACTCTTTGTAACCTTGCGCTGACTCTTCAGACAGTATCTTAACAGCTACTTGATCTCCATTCAAGAAACCATGGTATACTTTACCAAAACCTCCTTTGCCAAGAACTCTCTCGAAGTTGTTTGTGACATTTACAACTTCTGAATATAGAAAGTATCTCTTGGCTGTGTCCAATGGTCCGGTGTTGTCTCCTAACAGTTTGTTTGAGATTGTTCCTCTTCGCGATCTTCTCTTGAAATGCCATAATAAAGCTAATGCGATCAAAAGAACGAGCAGTCCTGCGACTGATGCTACTAATGGAACAGTGTAACCAATCTTCTTCTTTTTGGTTGTTTGACATGAAGAAGACTGACAAAGGTCCGGGTTTCCAGCAAATCTTAAGTTTACAACATAGAAACTTCAGTATGTGCCTTTTGAAAGAGAATCAGTGCAAATAGTTTCACATAGCAACATCTCTATGCAATAAAAAGGCATCCTTCTAGATTGCAATACGAAAAGACTACATTGATGAACATTACACAGCGTTGTTCAAGAGCTAATTGAGGTGCATACCTTAGGGAAAGAGAACCATCTTTTGATTTCTCCAACAGTTTAGGTGGAATCGATCCAGTTAGCTTGTTTCCTTCCAAGTTTCTACAGATATAATAAACACAGAGTCCTGTATAAATTCACAAGGCATAAAAACGGAACTGCTTTATAAATCTCACCACTAGAGTTTGCACGACTCACAATTCAGTCAAATTTTGTAAATTGGCGAGGAAATCGGGTACTTTTCCTGTTAAGTTGTTGTTTGAAAAGTCCCTGAAATGATATTTCTTTGTGTCAGTGTGTCACATGTGGCAAACCATAAAGTGGATCAATGTTAATTAGAAAGGAGACAAGAAGTACTGACAATTTTTCTACTGATGTAAGGTTGGCGAAAGCTGGATCAATCTGGCCAGTCAATCCACTGGAGGATAAGTTCCTGCAAATCACAACGAGAAATGTAAGAGCAGAGCAGAACAGATTAGAACAGAGCATTTGTGAATGTTAAAAAAAAATTCTCACACAGAAATGAGTCTTAGAGAAGTATTATTATCACTGTGGAGACATTCAAGACCTTCCCAAGAATAGTCCACTGGAACACATGGATCTCCTTGCCAATTCTTCTTCACTCCATACTTGAACTTAACCTTCGTCATGGCATCGACTAAGAGAAGATAATAAAATAAAAAAAAATCAAACATAAAGAAGAGAAGAAGAAATCTTTTTGAGTCAGAAAGCCTTACCATCCTGTTGATCTGTTGGTAACTGAAGGAACTCATTGATTTGATAGAGCTCAATAGCGTTAATGATTGGTGGAAGAGTCGACAAAGCAGTTTTCTCAATGATAATTTCATTCTCTGCTCTGCCTACTGGCTCTGTAGTGGAGCGTGTGTCTGTAAACAAGTAAGAAGGACGGAAATACTTGGCAAGTAACACTCCATTCACGTATATATCGAACTCTCGTGTCTCGTTTCTTTGTAGTTTCTGAACTTCAGCAAAGTGCATGTAGACATAAAACTTCGATCTCGGGTCATCTGGACTCTAAGTAAAAGTCAACGAATTGCTTTCGTTTCCCGCTAACAAAGCAGACCTCATAACAATACTTGCAGGTCTGAATCCGTTGTGGTTAGTTTCATCGATGGTGAGCGATGTATTCAAAGTTTTCATGTTCGGAGGCGTTGAAGGCGTCCATATACGATCATAGAAATCATCTTTGTACCTACACAACACGAGAACAACATTTAGTAGCAGAATATAACAATGACAAAAAAGGAACAAGATGTTTTCTTTTACCTGACTTGGAGATTGCTTGTTGCGCCAAAATCACGTCTCCGTTCAAGCATAAGAGCTTCGTAAGGAGTGTCGTATGTATCGTTCTTTAAAAACCTTATTTCCAAGACAGACAGAAACGGAGTTCCTCTGTCTTTATCAACAAGACACACATGAATATGGTCTGAAGGAGGAGTGTAAATCATCTATTTGGTCATTATAACCGTTTCATTGACAAGAACAACAGATTCCCAAAGATTGGCTCCAATATAAAGATCAAACTCTGGTGTTTTACTAAAACCATCATAGTTCCCGTACATGAAACGGGTTCTAATCAGATACTTGAAACCTCTCCCTTGTTGAGGCCTTATGTCGTAACAGTTTCTCTTACCTTCAGGGAAGCTTCTTACGTTTTGGAACTGCCTTTCGAGAGAAGTCGTTTCAAGGTCAGAAACTATGCTATGGCTTGTTCCAGACTCAACATAACCCAAATCCGAAACGTATTTCATGTTTGTGTTCTCATCAGTGTAGCTTGAACCATCCGGTGTCCCGCAATCGATGCTAACAAAACCTGTCGAAAAATCACAGAGCATTACAAACACAATTTGACATATATATACAAGAGTTTAGAAAAGCAAAGACTTCTTCTGAGTACCAACTTACCAGATTGGTCTTGAGCATGGACAGAATCAAGAAAAAAACAGCTTGTGATTAAAATCCATGAAAGAAGGCTTAGATGTCTCATTATCAGCCAATGATTTTAGTTACTTTCGTATGGACTATGTTCTTTCATGCAATATAGAGAGTACCCAAGAGCAAAAAGTCAGCTAATGCACGTATCAGCTTCAACTCTAAATAAGTTATAGTATTGCCATGTTGGGTCTATATACAATTACAATATGATATATAAAACAGAAGTCAAATAAGCAATTTTTTGAATTATGACCAATGCCATGTCAACGCTTTAGGTGGTTCTTGCTTTATCGTTTCATCAAAATTATTCCTAAAGTGCACACTTTTTGGTGGGTAATTAGGACTTAGATTGATGGAGAAAACCAGAGACGTTTTTAGAAATAAATGTCCATGGAGCTAAATGCTAATACCTCTTTTCCGGATCTCTGAATCCTTTTGACAGCCATTTTAGGAAAGTGTCCTTCGACCTAGTTGAAAGCACAATGATTGATTTAGTTTGATTTGATTCCTTCAAATTGATACCTGCAAAGTTGACGATTAGTAAACAAATGAAAGATAATCTTCGTGGGCTAACAGAAAAGTACCTTATAATAATTGCAAGTGAAAGAATGGATATATTACCTCTGAAAGTTGCCATAATCAGGCCTGTACTTGTCTTGGTCTCCTATCTCAAAAACCATGATCATCTAATTTGGAAAAGAAGGTTATGATCCATCGTATCGCCTGCAAGTTTAAAATTGAAGGAAGTATGATTCTTTATGATATAGTTTTTACATGTTCAAAAACAAAAATAAATCAGTTCTCCAGGATGTCGAACTTCTAACTCTTTTTTTAGATGAAAATATCATCCATCATTCAGAAATAAATGAAAAATTGTATAACCTTTTATCTAGTACAACAGTGTTCACCAGAATCATATACAATATGGGGAATTTCTAGAAGAGAAAGAAAAAACAATCAATTTGCTATTGCTCCACTGTTTAACAGTGTTTTGAACAGAAATCATACATTGGAAACGGTGTATGATAACCCGTATGAGATAACAAATGCTAGCTAGTTTCATCAATCACCCCAAGAACTTGCTCAATTCTACACCAGCCACACAAGATCAAAGGAGATGACTCACAAAGCATTTTGCTCTTAACTACCACCCAGCTAGCCAACCTGTTGTATCACTCTGGAACATCTTTAAACCAGGCTATAAATCATCCCTTTGACCTTCTTCTTCTCAGCATTGCATCGCATACCTTTGCTGCGTCTGCATTATCTCTAACATTATGAACTCTAATGATATTGGCACCTCCTAAAATGCCTGCAGTAACAGAAGCAACAGTAGCAGCATCTCTGTCACTGGCCTCAGGACGCCCACATATATCTCCCAAAAATCTCTTCCTTGAAGGTCCTATAAGTATAGGCGCATGATACACTGCTATGCTTCTCTTAGCCATCTCTTCCCTAATTTTTGGCAAATCCATAAGAATATCCAAATTGTGATCTACTCTCTTTGAAAACCCAATTCCTGGGTCGATCATAACCCTCCAAGCGGGAATCCCCGAAAGTTCAGCATCTCTTACTCGCATGTAGAGTTCAGAAGCAACATCCTTGCAGACATCATCGTACTGCAAATTCTCTTCGCTCTGCATTGTACATGGATCTCCTCTCATGTGCATGGCCATATAAGGAACCCCAGATTCTGCAACAACCTTGTGCATATTCGGGTCTAAGCTTCCAGCAGATACATCATTTAGAATGTCAGCTCCATTGCTTATTGCTTCTGAAGCAACCTCAGAGTTGAAAGTGTCCACAGATATGAGCTTTTCCTCCATCTCTGGCATACCACGGACAGCCTCTAAAACCGGAAGTAGTCTATCTAACTCTTCTTGACTAGTAATTCTCGAGGCCATTGGTCGTGTGGACTGTGCTCCGATATCAATTATATCTGCACCCTCGGAGATCATTGAGCGAACACGAGAAACTGCAGAATCTATAGACTGAAAGTGACCTCCATCACTAAAGCTGTCAGGGGTAAGATTAAGAATACCCATCACATGAGTTTTGTTAGAAAAATCCCACAGTTTGTCTCCTATAGGTAAAACCCTTTGTATACCATCTTGACCAATCTGTGATTCGCCACCTAGTCTCTCCCACGCTTGGAAAATGCCGCCGGGATGTATAGCGAGCGAATGCCAACGTGCGACCGTATCACTATCAACAGCTGATCCAAGCAAATCAACCAAAGGTGCCAACACAAATGACCTTTCCCAGAGTCTTTCATGTGGTATGATCAGGTTATCAGAAGCTATTCTCAGCTTGCCGTAGAACAAAATGTCCAAGTCAAGTGGTCTTGGTCCATACCTTATACCATCCTCACGTCCCATGTCTCTCTCAATTGTCTTGAGAACACTCAAAAGCTCATGAGGTCCAAGCTTGGTGACACCTCTCACTGCAGCATTTAGAAACCTGGGTTGATCAGTCACATGAACAGGAGCCGTTTCGTATAAACAGCTGTGCCTGGCTATACAAATGCCGCTACGCTTCATTAATCGCAAAGCCTCTTTGAAATTATTCATCCGGTTTCCTATGTTACTTCCCAAAGCAATCACAACTTCATGCTCTGTGGATTTAACTTCGACAGTCGTTTTCGTTGCCGAAGATGAGAAAGCTGAGAAGAGAAACAAACCAAGAAGCAAATCACATATCCTCAGAGAGCTTTTGTTAAGGCAAAACCTCAATGAGCACTGGAATCAATCATCTAGCATTTCTCACAGAATTGAAATCGTAAATTTGCTTCCACACTCAGCTCAAGATATTGTTTTCCAAGCAATCAAGGACGATTTTTTTTTTTTTGTAAAAATTCAAACTTTCATGTACAATGAAGGAAGAGGAAGCTGCATATCTCAATTGCAGATACCTGGAGGACTGAAGAGATAGGGACAGGGAGAGCCAAGTGGAGACACGAGAGAAAGGGACTTTGACGAATAGTATCGGTGGAAGCAGACGCGACTCGGGGACACAGCCACCGCCGGTGGCGGGTCGGAGACGCGGCGGAGAAGGAACCTACCGGTGTAAATCAAGGTTTGTGTCAGTAAACGAGCCATTTTTTAGAGAGAGAAAGGCAATCTAACGTGTCTCCGGACGAGTGACGACTGAGGAAGGCGATGCAGGTGAAACGGGTACAAGATCCGAACCTCATATTTGACCCGACCCCTATGAAATAACCAATGCCAGGAAAACCGAATTAAATCAAAACAAAAAAAACCAAACATCTTAACCCAAAATGCCGAACCGAGACCGGATTAGACAGCTTCCAAAAGTCTCTTTCTCGATCCCCAATTCGTTGATTAGGGTTAAAAGAGCCATTTTTTTGTTTTCTCGACGCGCAACAAATCCAGACCAAAGAGGAAGATCGAAATGGCGATGAGGAGGGTTTACAGTGAGATCAAGGGGAAGAAGGTGAAGGAGCTTCCCGGCTATTTCAAATCGACGTTTTCATTGGAGACGGTGAAGACCTCTGTGAAGAGAGGTCTCGATAACTACAACGACAAATACATCCAGACCAGCTCCATCGATCCTCTCCTTCATATCTGCTTCTATGGCATGGCCTTCTCCTACCTCGTCGCTCTCCCCAACGAGCGTCGCCATCTCGAGCACCAGCAGCATGCCAAGGAGCACGGTGGCCACTGATCTCGACGAATCGTTTTTCGATCTCTCGATGAGTTTAGGTATTCCGGTGTTCGATCCTTTCGATTAGTGTGCGGTATTTGTTTTCCGTCGGATTTGTTGATAAATGTATTTCATTTTTTCTCTATTGAGATATTTGGCTATACATCTGTTGTGATTTTGGGGATTTGCATCTGTGAGTTGATAGATTTCAGAGTCAAATTGCCATTTTTGAATCAATGATTGATTTGAGGAGAGTTTGTTTGTGATTTTCTATTGGAAAGGATTCGTCTTTCGTTCTTACCAGCATTTTGGGCGTCAATGTATGATCTGATGCGTTACCTTGTGTACTCTGTGAAAGGCTATATCTTTCTAGATTCCTCTAAATAGCCTCTCTGATTTTAAATGGTTGAGATGTGTTTAGGTTTATCAATTTTGACTCTTGGGCAGTTCAGTATTCATATTGTTTTTTTTTTAATTGTTGTTTGGTATTTGATGGTTGGATGAGAAGTGATACTTTGATACTAGAGCTGCCCTTAAGTTTTCTCTATATTGGTTTCAGGAAGTAGCATTGTATCAGTTTCTAATGAATGGTGTTCTTGCTTCTCTTTATGAATGCAGAGGTTGCTGTGAAGTCTTTCTGCGATGGTGACGACTCAAGATTGTATTGTGTTATTGTTTTCTTTTCTTGCAATTTCCTGGATATTGTTGACCTAAAGGAAACCTTTCTTTTGAATTGCACTTGATAGCGGCAATAATTGAAGCATGATATCCCATGAATAATGAAACAATTTTTTTTTTGTCCCGTGAGAAATCGTGAAGCTGTGGATTCAGGGTTTGTTTTGCCATATTTCAGTTTAATCTATTTCGATTCTTGGATCAAGCATAAAATATTTCGAACATAACATTTGTCGTTAAAATCTTGACTGTCTACTACCCAATTCCCTTCAATCAAAGTCGACTGCTTTTTTTTTTTGGAATTAAGATCTTTCTTTGGATTATGAATGATCAGGTTGCTCTGGAGTAAGTAATATGAATCATATCATCTAGTCTTCGTCCCATCACCGATGTTCAATCAAATTTTTTGGCAAAATGATAATAAACTAAAGTCGAATCCAGTATAGATTGGTTTTGGCCCAAGCCACACGTCCTTAAAGTAATAGAAACTTTACTAGCATCGTCTTTATTCTTAAAACCAAATCAAAGACCGTTGGGCCAACTTTAAATTAGCTATACAAAAGTTGTGTGCTTTTCACACGGATCTCGTTCCAAGGATTTATTTAAGCTTATAAAAACAAATTAACTAAAATATTGGTTTTGGCAGTATAAAACAGTAATAGTCATGTAAAAGTAAAATACACTTACATGACAATGATGATATATATAGATGCATTTGTGTAATCATTGAACGTATAGATTTAGTAATTTTAGTGAAGTTGTGTTTACTCTCAAACACGTCTAGTCGAAATCACTTTTGGGAGAATATTATTATGGTGATATATCTTCACGGGAAAGCCAAAGCATCTTTACCTTTCTCATCATGATCCCATCTACTATTAAGCTATTATACGATAGTTCCGTCCTTTGTTATCACCTAATCTGAATTATGAGTTACTCTATTCCTGGTTAACTAATCTTATAATAAAACAGTTTATGAACTTTAACATGATAAGTAACAAATTTATATTAATCTAGAAAAGATGGAATGCGGTTCAATATGAACTGTTTTTTAGCTGCACCCACCATTAGGACTTCCATATATCTAGTTCATAAATCATGCGCTGCAAATTTTTTTATACATATATATGCATGTGTGTATATATATATATATAGATGAAATAAATACTAAAATTAATAGTATTTATGTCGTTACACCTAATAAACAAATAAATGTTAAATAGACTCACGAAAAGCAAGTTGTCACGATTTCGCACATAGCCAATTTATTCTGTCCCTTTAGACCGAAAGGCAATCCAAAGTTTTTTTGACAATCATCAAAAACAAGGATTTCCATAATCAAAGGGCAAAGAAAAATAAAATAAAATATACATGGATTTCCTATTGAGCAGAAAAAAGTTTTTATATATTCAATAAAAACTTTGATATTGTGCTATACTAACAAAGGTAATAATCATGCTGTTGTGTATTCAACAGTAGAATTCCTTGTATTGTATGTTATCGTTACTAAAAGATTGATGTAAATTCACATATCACATACATGAATAAAATCAAACACGTCATTAATCTGTTGATCTTTCTATAAAAATATATTAATGCAAATGATTTTGTAAGATAAAACTTACCTGTAGAGAATTGATATAAGCCATGTTAAGAATTCAATATTTTCATACAACTAGAGGAGTTCCACAAAAAGATATTGACTTCATACTAAAACCAATAAGCAATAGTTTTCCTTGCCAAGTAAAAGGTTTACATAGATAGCTTATTTTTTTTTTGTTTCCTCTATAAATTTATATACTAACAACATCTATTACCATCAGACGGACGTATAAGAAAAACATGTTATGCCGATATTAGCCTGCTAATGCCGGTGTAAAGTCCATAGTAAGTTTGGCTTAAAATATGGGTATAACTTAAAATATGCATAAACACTTGACATAGTGACAAAAAAAGGATTAGACCAATAAATAGTTAATAATGAAATATTGTGGGAAGTTTTTTTGGTTGGTGCCAGAGGAATCAAATTTTTGGACAAGAAGAAAGGTCACATGACACATGATGTGTTTCGACTAAACGACATATCTCCTGGGAACAATACCTCACATGTACCTTTCGATGTTAACTTTATACGACCACATACCTCCAACTGTATGCTATAAATATCTTCATATTTCTAAAATCAGTGCTTAAAACTTGTCACTAGCATAAGATTTAAAACTATATCCAAATTTTCAGTTGAATAGTGGAGTATTTTGAATGAAAGAATTTTATATGGAATAACATGAGATTTCAAAAAATATTTAAAAAAATTCCATGACTAATAAAAAATAGTTTTTTTAGAAAAACAACAAAACATTTTCAGATCTATAATCCAAGAAGCACCAGAGTTTATTATCTTACAAATATTTGTTTTTGTCTCGATTCTCTTACAGTTATCTACCATTTTTCTTCATAATTATTCCATAGACCGTAATATTTCTTAGTGAGTAAAATCTTCTCTGTAATCCCAAAAAGAAACACTATCAAGTGCCATCAACTGTGGATCATAATAATGCTTTTGGAGGAAAACCGCGTTTTATGATTGAAACATGAATTCTAATCAAACATCATTAACATTACTTTATGTCTCTCGAGATTATGAATTTAATATTTTTAACTTTTAACTTTTATACTTTTCTTTTACCTTTCATCAATTAGTAAGTCAAAACTATTTTTTCTTTCCCTCCTTGGACTTTTCCTTCTACCTCTTTTTCCGCAACAGGCAAATATTTTCTTACAAATTAAGAAATCGACATTTCCGTTAACTCCTGCGGTAATAGAGCCTTGCGTTTTCGTTTTCAAAATATTACTATGTGCATTGTCCCGATGGCACTATTGTAAAAACCGCCTCTACCTTCTGGCATCTCTTAATAGTTATAATAAATACACAACAACTATGAACGAAAAATACTGAAATAGTCAAGTCAAATTAAAATTTTATTTCACTTTGTACTCACTTGTCAGATAAATGGTCAATTGTAGTAATTTTATGAAATTTTTTGGTTGGTCCTCAAGTTAAACTATAAAGTACTTGGCTTTTAGCAGTTTCTAATTACTTCTATAAACCACACTTAAATAACTTTTTAAAGTGAAGAATACAATACTGGTAAATGCTTTTTTGGTAGATTATGAATCAATATTCAATTTTAAACTACAGATTCACTTAATATAATACTACTTAGTTAGATTTCACTACTTTACACAACCTCGTATTTTATGGTAAATTCCTACCACTATAGTAATGTTTATAATTTATTTTACAAGGAACGCCAATATGATTATTAAAAACATAAAGGGATCGCTAAAAAGTTACAAATGTGAGTCTCTCCATTATCCACGGTTTGTTGTCTGCTGCTTGACATTGAAAAGATAATCAGAATACAAATTAATGAATTAAGAAAAAGAACAAAACCCTGAATAATATTCCACACACACACATACACACTCTCTCCATTCTCACTAAGAAAAAAACACACTTTAAAACTTCTCGCTTACACATTTCATCCCCATTTCAGCCTCATTTATCTCTCTATTTTTCATTTTGTTCATTCATATTTGACAAGATCTCCACTATTCAAAGGAAAAAAAAAAACTCAGAATCATCTTGTTCAGATTGTCATCTATCTGCACACTTGATTTATGTAGTGACTAAATTTGGAATCTTGGGTCGTTCGCGTTTCGGTTTGATTCAGGCGTAATCTCACCGTCTCGTCTCAAATTTGCTTTTACTTTTCTGCTTGATTCGTTTCGTGAATCGTAAGTTCGTACCTTTTCTTTTGTTTAGCTTTTTTTTTTTTTGTTATTATTCTGCTTTATTCCATTCAAGCTTCAAGTTAACAGGATCCTCTAACTAGACACACATGTTTGGATTTTTTCTTTTCTTGCTTCTGGGTTTGTCATTGCTTATTCATTGCCTGTATAATTTGTGAAAGTGGGTTAGTTTTCCTCAAGTATAGTGATGTGTGTTTATAAATTTGTTTTTCTCTCTCTCTTTCTTTCTCTGTCTCCTACTGATTGATTAGCAATAGTTGCTACTGTTGTTACTGTATCGTCTTCAAACTTTTCATAAATGGGATAAAATGAATGTGGGACTTTCATCATTGGTTGATCTGTGTAGTTAAATTTGTCTAGGAAAGTTGGGTTTTTACCAATCTACAGTATCTGTCTTTCAAGTGGATTGATTTGAGGTATCCCCAAGTCTTTATCTTTGAGTTAGTTGGGAGTGGCCTCTCTTCATGTGCTTGGATCCTCAGAATTTTTTTTAAAAATCAGCGAAAAATATGGTTCTCTTCTCTGTCAGATTTTGAAAAGTTTTGTCTTTTTACCACTGCGATAGAGGGCAAAACTATTTCCTCAACTCTGAGAAGTGTGTGGGATTAACTGATCAGTGTTATCTTTCAATATGTATGTGATGTGATTGTTGCCATTGATAAATGGATGCTTATGCTTTTCATTGGCGTTTTGATACTGCAGATTGGTTTATAGCGAGTTGATCTGGCGCTTCTTTGGTGAGAAGCAAGATGGATATCGGGTGTAAAGTTCTCGTCTTTTTCACACTCTTCTTCACTGTAACGGCAGAGATTTACATTGTGACTATGGAAGGAGATCCAATCATAAGTTACAGAGGTGGTGATAACGGGTTTGAAGCAACTGCTGTGGAATCTGATGAGAAAATTGATACGACGAGGTACACCATGTTTTCTATTCTTCAAGTTCAATCTTATTAACAGCTGAGACACAGTCTCATCCATAATAGGCCTTAGCTTTGATGAGGCCTTTTATTGATGTGTGTCATAATTTTTTGGCATCTTCTATTTGTTGTTTGCTAGATTAACAATCTGTGACCTCTCTTTTGGCAGTGAGTTGGTGACATCTTACGCCCGTCATCTTGAGAGGAAACATGATATGCTTCTTGGAATGCTCTTTGAGGAAGGATCATACAAAAAGCTTTACAGCTATAAACACCTTATAAATGGATTTGCAGCTCATGTTTCCCCTAGTCAGGTGACATCCGATTTGAGATAGTCTCTGCAAATTTCCTTTCAATGTTACAGTTCTTTGTCGCTTACACTATTCCGCTATATTAGTAGGCGGAAATGCTTCGTCGCGCGCCTGGTGTGAAATCTGTTAGCAGAGATTGGAAAG